GCCGTTTTAAACGCCACTTGTTGTCCACATGCCGCTTTACACGCCATTTATTCCCCACATGCCGTTTTAAACGCCATTTGTTGTCCACATGCCGTTTTAAACGGCATTCATTGCCCACATGCCGCTTTACACGCCATTTATTCCCCACATGCCGTTTTAAATGCCACTTGTTGTCCACATGCCGCTTTACACGCCATTTATTCCCCACATGCCGTTTTAAACGACACTTGTTGTCCACATGCCGCTTTACACGCCACTTGTTGTCCACATGCCGTTTTAAACGCCACTTGTTGTCCACATGCCGCTTTACACGCCACTTGTTGTCCACATGCGGTTTTAAACGCCACTTGTTGTCCACATGCCGCTTTACACGCCATTTATTCCTCACATGCCGTTTAAAACGCCACTTGTTGTCCACATGCCCTTTTAAACGGCATTCATTGCCCTCATGCCGCTTTACACGCCATTTATTCCCCACATGCCGTTTTTAACGCCACTTGTTGTCCACATGCCGCTTTACACGCCACTTGTTGTCCACATGCCGTTTTAAACGCCACTTGTTGTCCACATGCCGCTTTACACGCCACTTGTTGTCCACATGCCGTTTTAAACGCCACTTGTTGTCCACATGCCGCTTTACACGCCATTTATTCCTCACATGCCGTTTTAAACGCCACTTGTTGTCCACATGCCGTTTTAAACGGCATTCATTGCCCACATGCCGCTTTACGCGCTATTTATTCCCCACATGCCGTTTTAAACGCCACTTGTTGTCCACATGCCGCTTTACACGCCATTTATTCCCCACATGCCGTTGTAAACGGCATTTATTGCCCACATGCCGCTTTACATGCCATTTATTCCTCACATGCCGTTTTAAACGCCACTTGTTGTCCACATGCCGTTTTAAACGCCACTTGTTGTCCACATGCCGCTTTACACGCCACTTGTTGTCCACATGCCGTTTTAAACGCCACTTGTTGTCCACATGCCGCTTTACACGCCATTTATTCCTCACATGCCGTTTTAAACGCCATTTATTCCTCACATGCCGTTTTAAACGCCACTTGTTGTCCACATGCCGTTTTAAACGGCATTCATTGCCCACATGCCGCTTTACACGCTATTTATTCCCCACATGCCGTTTTAAACGCCACTTGTTGTCCACATGCCGCTTTACACGCCATTTATTCCCCACATGCCGTTGTAAACGGCATTTATTGCCCACATGCCGCTTTACATGCCATTTATTCCCCACATGCCGTTTTAAACGCCATTTATTGCCCACATGCCGCTTTACACGCCATTTATTCCCCACATGCCGTTTTAAACGCCACTTGTTGTCCACATGCCGTTTTAAACACCATTTGTTGTCCACATGCCGCTTTACACGCCATTTATTCCCCACATGCCGTTTTAAACGGCATTTATTGCCCACATGCCGCTTTACATGCCATTTATTCCCCACATGCCGTTGTAAACGACATTTATTGCCCACATGCCGCTTTACACGCCATTTATTCCCCACATGCCGTTGTAAACGCCATTTGTTGCCCACATGCCGCTTTACACGCCATTTATTTCCCACATGCCGTTTTAAACGCCACTTGTTGTCCACATGCCGTTTTAAACACCATTTGTTGTCCACATGCCGCTTTACACGCCATTTATTCCCCACATGCCGTTGTAAACGGCATTTATTGCCCACATGCCGCTTTACATGCCATTTATTCCCCACATGCCGTTGTAAACGCCATTTATTGCCCACATGCCGCTTTACACGCCATTTATTCCCCACATGCCGTTGTAAACGCCATTTATTGCCCACATGCCGCTTTACACGCCATTTATTCCCCACATGCCGTTTTAAACGCCACTTGTTGTCCACATGCCGTTTTAAACACCATTTGTTGTCCACATGCCGCTTTACACGCCATTTATTCCCCACATGCCGTTGTAAACGCCATTTATTGCCCACATGCCGCTTTACACGTTATTTATTCCCCACATGCCGTTGTAAACGCCATTTATTGCCCATATGCCGCTTTACACGCCATTTTTTCCCCACATGCCGTTTTAAACGCCATTTGTTGTTCACATGCCGCTTTACACGCCATTTATTCCTCACATGCCGTTTTAAACGCCACTTGTTGTCCACATGCCACTAATCAGCTGTGGCAGGTGCCGGTGCCACAAAAGGAGCCTGCCCTTACTGCGCTCCTTTAAAAACAAAAATCATAAAAACAAAATCTGCACCCCCATGGAGAAATGAGGAAGTACGGAAAATGAAACAAGAGTGCAGGGTGGCATAACGAAGATGGAGAAAAAATGAAACAACAATCAACTACGAAATATATAAAAAAATCAAAAAGCATACAATTACACAATTAGAAATATTAAGAACAAATACTTTTCAAAACTAATCACCCAAAATAAAAATAACCCAAAAGTCCTATTTTCAACCATTGACACCATTTTAAACTTTGATTTTAGCATGTCTCTTTTAACCCCCACAGACTCCCTCTGTGAGGACTTTGCAGTCCACTTCATGGGGAAGATAAATACAATCAGATGTAACATTTTATCCAACCGCAAAACTGTTTTTAACACATCTGATTGTTTGTCTTTGCCAGAGGAAACACTGGACAGTTTTGTCCTGGTTGATGCTGAGATGCTTGATAAAGTTTTCTCCTGAGTGAGGCCCATCACATGTCTTTTAGATCCAGTCCCCACCCCATTTTTTTAGTCATTTTATGAATCTTTTAGAGAGGAGCTTTTAAACCTGATGAACTGCTCTCTTCAGACTGGGGTCTTTCTTGCAGCCTTCAAAGAAGAAGTGCAATTTGGATTTTAATGATTTTAACAACTACAGACCAGTATCCAACTTACCATTTTAGAAAAACTTGTTTTTACCCAGCTCAGTGCCTTTTTAGATCAGCAGAAAATTTTAGAGAAATTTCAATCAGGTTTTAGGGTGAACCACAGCACAGAGACTGCTCTTTTAAAGATTTTAAATGATTTTAGACTAAGTTATGATTCTAAAAAGGTGACTGTGTTGGTTCTACTGGATCTAAGCGCCGCTTTTGATACATTACAATACAATACAATACAATACAATACAATACAATATATTCTTGTATAGCCCTAGGTCACAACAGAAGTAATCTCAGAGACTTAACAAAACCATTGAAATCAACAACACAGGTCAGAGAATCAACAGTTAAAACACATGAAAAATATAAAGCACACACAGAAGAAAATGTCCATACATGTAGAATGCTAAAGTGTCCTGATCATCACCAATCCTTTCTGTTGGACACTAACTGTCCAACAAGACCCTCCTGCATCGACAAGGAAAAACTCTTAAAAAACCCAGTGGGAAAAAGAAAGAAACCTTGGGGAGAACTAGGGAAACCCACAGGGAGGGAGACCCATTTGAGAAAGGGATCCGCTCCTCCGGACGGACAGGCTAATGATCTAGGACCTAAGCTAGCTACAGGACGTGGACCAGTGGCCGCTGAACGTGGGCAGGTCCGGTGCAGGACTGAAGCACTCCCAGGCGGGTCGGGCGGGGCAGTCCGCAGGTTTAGATGGAGGAGGCCAGTAGACCACACCAGTCTTTTATCCCGCCTGAAACACCTCGGCCTCTCTGGTGCTGTCCACAAATGGTTCACTTCTTATTTAACAGACAGATCCTTCATGGTAAGTTTGGATACCTGCTCCTCTCAGGTCCATAAAATCACATGTGGTGTGCCCCAGGGTTCCCTTTTAGGTCCAGTCCTTTTTAACCTGTACATGCTCCCTCTTGGCGGTGTCATCAGGAGACATGGAATTAACTTCCACAGTTATGCAGATGATACACAGCTGTACATCTCCATGTCTCCTGATGACACCAGGCCAATGGATGCTCTTTTTAACTGCATTTTAGACCTGAAATCCTGGATGGCAGAAAACTTTCTCCAGCTCAACCAGGACAAAACTGAGGTTTTAGTCATCGGTCCTGAGGCCCAGAGAGAGAAACTTTTATCAAAATTCCAATCACACTCTTTTAATCCATCATCACAAGTGAAAAACCTGGGCGTAACTTTTGACTCTGAGCTGACTTCTATTCCTCACATCAAGAATATCACAAAAATAGGTTTTTATCGTTTAAAGAACATCGCCAGAGTCCGCCCCATTCTCTCTCGGGGCAACACGGAGACGCTGATGCTTTTATCACCAGTCACATTGACTACTATAATGCCCTGCTCTCTGGTCTTCCCAAAAAGAATATTGCAAGTCTTCAATTACTCCAAAACTCGGCCGCACGTGTCCTGACTAAGACCAGGGGGCATGTCCTGACTAAGACCAGGGGGCGTGTCCTGAATAAGACCAGGGGGCGGGACCACATTACACCGGTTTTAAAATCGCTGCATTGGCTCCCTGTGTGTTTCAGGATCGATTTTAAGGTTCTTTTAATGGTTTTACTTATTGTATTGTTATTGTATTGTTTTTAGTGTACCCAGTGTTTCCTCTGGAGGAGCCCTCTGCACTGGGAGCAGTGGTCGGTGTGGCTGCGGGGGTCGGACTCTTGGACCTGGTGGGGGTCTGGGGCCTCGGTTTCGTGTCTCCTCTGGGTCCTCTGTCGTCCCCTGTGGCTACGGGCGGCTCTCTGCTCCTGGTGCAGACGGCTCTTTGGATGACGCTTTTTCAGCTGGTTGCATCTGAACCCTGCCAAGTCTGTTGTGTGGTCGGGGGAAGGGGTCATGGGCCGGAGGGATTGTTTTTAACCAAACTGTAAAGCATTTTGTGTTGCATCTTTTGTATGAAAAGCGCTTTATAAAAATAAAAATAAATCCTCCGCCTCCAAAAAGGTAACGTTTTAAAAATGGATTATGGATCAGAGAAACCCAGACTGTAAAGTGTGTTTCTTTATTATGTTTTAGCAGCAGCCAAAGACCAAACGGTTGATACAGCAGAGGTAAGATTTTCTGTTTTGAAATCTAAAACCTCGCGTTACCATGGTGGTGACTTCCTGTATCCGGTGAGCGTGTTTCTTGACTGCTATCACTCTGCTCTCTGTTTGCACTAACAAACACATTACAAATCCTCGTATTGTACACCAAGCTAACTGTGTAAGCACTCCGAGTCAGCTGTACTGTAGCTGAGGTTTAGGTAGCGGTTGTTTGTCTGGTCTCGGAGTCTGTTGTGCGGGTCCGGATCCGGACTAGCTTAGCCTAGCCTAGCCGCTAACTCGCTACTCCTATGGCGGCTGCTGTCTCTCCCTCAGTCCTTTACTGCTCGAGTTGCCATATGGAGAGTCTAAACCCTGGATCCTTCTCTGAGGGTAGTGATAGATGTGTGAAGTGTAGTGTAGTCGTAGCTCTGGAATCCAGGGTCAGTGAGTTAGAGCTGCGTCTCCGAGCACTGGAGTCTCGAGCTAGCGCTAGCATTAGCTACAGCCAGGCCGTATCCTCAGGGACAGCGGAGCGCAGCTTTAGGGAAAGGCAGAGGAGAACTAGCGAGCCTAGCCTCCCAGCCCGTCCTCCGCAGCTGGGACAAGACCAGGATAGTGATGGCTTTGTGACTGTTCGGAGAGGGCGACGTGTTGTTGGTAGTTTCCCCATTGGGCCTCCTCCTGTTAGCATTTACAATCGCTGGGACGCTCTGTCCGGCTGCGCCCCCGCGCGGCCGGGCGGGGAAGAAGGCCCCACTGAGAGAGCCGCTGAGAGAGCTGCTGAGAGAGCCGATGGAGTCGCTGATGCGCTGGTAATTGGCTCCTCTATTGTCAGAGGTGTTAAGATCCCAGGAGCCACTGTTCGGTGCTTCCCTGGGGCCAGGCTTGGTGATATTGAAGGGAATCTGAGGCTCATGATGACCCACAAGCAGCGTTTCCGTCGAATTGTTATTCACGCGGGTGGTAATGACGTTCGGCGGAAACAGTCCGAGGTGTTGAAGCTGCAAGTCGCCGCGGTGTGCAAGCTGGCTAGCACAATGGCCGACACTGTCATCTTCTCTGGGCCCCTACCTAGCACTAGCAGTGCAGAAGCATTCAGCAGACACTCGGCTTTCAACCGCTGGCTGTCTGGCTGGTGCCCTCGAAGTGGTGTTGTTCATGTTGACAATTGGAGTGCCTTTTGGGGAAAGCCCGGTCTCATCCGCTCGGATGATATCCACCCAACGTTGGCGGGTACATCCCTTTTGGCTAAGAATTTGGCCCTGGCTCTAAACTGTTCTGCCCGGCTCAAATGACGGTGCAGAACTGAGGCCCGGGTGCAGAGCTGCTCTGCCACAACCTCTGAGCCCCCATCTGTTCAGTTACTAGCCTCAGAAGCCAGTCAGATTGAAACTGTGTGTGCATGTGTGTGTGTGCCTGTGTGTGCTCAGTTACTAGCCTCAGAAGCTAGTCAGATTGAAACTGTGTGTGTTCCTCGCTTGAAGTCTAAAGCACTATATGCGAGGAAATCTGACCTGGGTGTCAGACACAGTAACTTAATAAAAGTTCAGACAGACAGAAATAGTTCTAACAGTAGGGTTGTTAAATGTGGTTTAATGAACGTCAGATCAATCTCGTCTAAATCGCTTCTCATAAACGAACTTATTATAGACAAGGGCTTGGATTTGTTTGCGCTCTCGGAGACTTGGCTCCAACAGGACGACTACGTTAGATTGAATGAGTGCACTCCTCCGACGCATGTTAACTACCAGAAAGCCAGAACTACAGGTTGCGGCGGTGGTGTTGCGATTATATCACACACCAACTTAGTTCTTAGTCCCAAAACCAACAATGCTTTTCACTCGTTTGAAAACTTAACACTTTCAATCACCTGTCCTGGGTGGAGAAAACAAAAAGCGGTGCTATTTATAGTTTTATACCGACCTCCTGGTCCTTACAGCGAGTTCCTAACAGAATTCTCGGACTTCATTTCAAACCTAGTTTTGGAATGGGAAAACATAGTTATAGCTGGAGACTTCAATATACATGTGGACGACAGCACTGACAGCTTAAACAAAGCTTTCAGCGCCGTACTAGATGGTGTTGGTTTTACTCAGAATGTTGAGGAACCTACTCACATTCATAACCACACCTTGGACCTTGTCCTGACCTACGGCTGTGATGTCTCCAATGTTGACATCCAGCGTCAAAGCTCGTTGCTGTCTGACCATTCCTTGATCACGTTTGATCTTGATTTGGAGGACTTTCCTGTCCCGCAAGATAAAACCATAATGAAAAGAACCTTAAATGATAAATCTATCACAATGTTGAATACTGCTGCAGGTGAACCTGTTCACAGCTGCTGCAGTCCCTCAGTCATTGACCAAACGGTGGACAACACTATGGAGTCTTTAAAATCTGCATTAAATGCAGCAGCTCCTTTAAAACAGAAAACTATTAGGATTAGGTCATCGTCGCCCTGGTACAGTGTTCAACTCCACACTTTAAAACAGGACGTCAGAAAATTGGAGAGGCTATATCGCCACTCCCACTCGGAGCCTGTCCACAGGGAGTGGAAAGCAGGTCTCCGAAACTATAAGAATGCCCTTCGTAGGGCTCGAACTCAATACTATTCAACTTTAATAGAAGCGAATAAAAATAACAGTAGATTTTTGTTTAGCACCGTCGCTAAACTCACAAACTGCCATAGCGCAATCGAGCCTAAAATTCCAAGCTCACTGAGCAGTGTCGACTTTCTCCACTTCTTTAATAATAAAATTACATCCATCCGTGACAAACTGGAGGAGGTTACTCCTGCTGTTGGTAGTGGACAGGCTGAAGCGGCATACGTGACTTCCCACTTAGACTCTTCAGTGGGCCTCGATAAATTCATGGCTGTGAGCCAAGCAGAGGTGATCTCTGTGGTCACATCCTCAAAAGCCTCAACTTGCATGTTAGACGCAGTCCCGACATGGCTCTTCAAAGACATACTTCCTTTGATAATTGAGCCTATCGTAAATATAATAAACGCATCCATACAATGTGGCTATGTCCCACAAGCTTTTAAAACCGCGGTTATCAAACCCGTTCTGAAGAAAACAAACCTGGACCCAGAAATACTTACAAACTACAGACCGATCTCAAACCTCACTTTTATATCTAAAATCCTGGAAAAACTTATAGCTGAGCAGCTTCGCTGCCACCTGCAGGAAAATAATATGTTTGAAGTCTTTCAATCAGGATTCAGAGCTCATCATAGCACTGAAACGGCACTAGTCAAAGTCACAAATGACTTACTACTAGCTGCTGATAATGGACAAGTGTCAGTGCTGGTCCTACTGGACCTTAGTGCTGCATTTGACACAATAGACCACAGCATTCTACTGCAGAGGCTAGAATGTGATATAGGTCTTAGAGGAACAGCCCTTGGCTGGTTTAAATCCTATTTATCAGATCGGTATCACTTCGTCAACGTAAATCAGAACTCGTCACCTTATTCTGGAGTAGAATTCGGTGTGCTGCAGGGTTCGGTACTCGGACCGATTCTTTTTACTCTCTACATGCTGCCATTAGGAAACATTATTAAAAAGCATGGAATTAATTTCCACTGCTATGCAGATGACACACAGCTTTATCTGTCGATGAAGCCAAATCAGACAGATCAGCTGGAAAAGCTCAGTGCCTGCATAAAGGACCTTAAAATGTGGATGACTCTTAACTTCCTACTTCTCAACCCGGAGAAGACAGAAGTGATCCTACTCGGTCCGAAGCGCCTGCGTGACTCCCTCACTAACCAGATAATTACTCTCGATAATGTCAGTATTATACCCAGTAACACTGTGAGGAATCTCGGAGTCATTTTTGACCAAGAACTCTCCTTCAAGGCTTATATAAGCCAAGCAACTAAAACGGCGTACTTCCACCTACGGAACATCGCTAAAATTAGGAATTTCCTTCCTAAAAGTGACGCGGAAAAACTCATTCACGCGTTTGTCACCTCAAGGCTCGACTACTGTAACGCTTTATTGGCAGCGTGCCCTAAAGCGTCTTTGAAGAGCTTCCAGCTCGTTCAGAATACAGCAGCTAGGATCTTAACAGGTACCAAAAGGAGGGAGCACATAACTCCGGTGTTAAAATCACTCCACTGGCTCCCTGTGGAGTACAGAATAAAGTTTAAAATCCTTCTCTTAACATATAAAGCCATAAATGGCTTGGCTCCTTCTTATCTCCAAGACACGTTAGTGTCGTATCAACCAAGTCGAGCGTTGCGCTCACAAAACGCCAGACATCTGGTGGTCCCTAAGGTCTCAAAAATCACTGTTGGTGGCAGAGCATTTAGCTCCAAGCTCCTTTACTGTGGAATCAGCTTCATTTATGTTAAGGAAGCAGATACGGTCTCCACATTCAAGGCCAGGCTTAAAGCACTTTACTTTAATTTAGCATATAATTAGGTAATATATAATATGTGGTGTATATATTATATATGTATGCTGTATTATGTTATATATTATGTTATATATTATACAATAATGTATTGTGTTATGTTGTATATTATGTTATATATTATGCTGTATGTTATGTTGTGTATTATATATGATATATATGGTATGTATGGTATATATGATGTATATGATATATAATATATAATTAGGTTTGCTTGGATCGGTTTGCACACCTGGTGTGCAATCCATGAATCTCTTTATTCAAGGCTAGGTTTAAAACAGTCCTCTTTAGTTTAGCATATGGTTAGGAAGGTAAGACTCTGGGAAGGCTAAACTCCTCAGAGTGTCAGTCAAGCTGCATAGGGAGTCAGTTTGCTGGGAGAAGTATGGTAACTTGAGCACTATCCTCTCCTCCTTCCTACTTTATCTACTTCATCTGTTTAGCACTTTTAGGATTCTGACTGTAGTTTGTTCATTGCTATTCACCCGTTGTCCCATTGTCTGTTTCATGGTACGATGACGGGATCTCTGAGCCTGGCCTCCTCCATCTAAACCTGCGGACTGCCCCGCCCGACCCGCCTGGGAGTGCTTCGGTCCTGCACCGGACCTGTCCACGTTCAGCGGCCACTGGTCCACGTCCTGTAGCTAGCTTAGGTCCTAGATCATTAGCCTGTCCGTCCGGAGGAGCGGATCCCTTTCTCATATGGGTCTCCCTCCCTGTGGGTTTCCCTAGTGCTCCCCAAGGTTTCTCACTTTTTCCCACTGGGTTTTTTAAGAGTTTTTCCTTGTCGATGCAGGAGGGTCTTGTTGGACAGTTAGTGTCCAACAGAAAGGATTGGTGATGATCAGGACACTTTAGCATTCTACAACATGTATGGACATTTTCTTCTGTGTGTGCTTTATATTCTCCATGTGTTTTGGCTGTTGATTCTCTGACCTGTGTTGGTGATTTCAATGGTTTTGTTAAGTCCTCTGAGATTACTTCTGTTGTGACCTAGGGCTATACAAGAATAAATAAATTGTATTGTAAATACCATGTGTGAAAGTGAGGTGGAGGTGAATATGTTGTGTTTGTTGATCAGGGCTCTCTGGTGGCTGCTCGTGTGTTCATGGCCACGTCTCTGAGGAGCAGGCGTCCAAACACACCGGAGCACACACACGTCGTCTACACCGTCATCAAATAGAAGCACGTGGAAAATAAGAGCAAACGATTCATCAAGACTTAAGTTTACGGATCACATTTAACAAACCGCAAAGACTGCAATGATTTAAGTTCTTTTCAAATACAAATGGGAAACAAGAAAGGCAAAAAAAAACACTTGGATTTGGAATAAATCTTTATATTTATTTGTATTTGGTAGAAATGTTGTTTTCTTGTTCCAATTGAGACTTTTCATCTTTTTCATCATTTATATTACTAATAAAATATACACAGAATACAGCTTAAGTCTGAACATAGGAATTTAGTGAGAAAAGATTAAAAAAATCTACTTCATTCAAGGATTTGATGTTAATAATAATTATAATAATAATTATAATTACAATACTAGATCTTATAGAGATTGAGGATGGGGGTGTTGGGTCAGAGAGTGTTTGGGCCTGTGTGTATAGGCGACACACACTTGTACACCTTGTACCATTTATGTAATTGTGTTACTTTTCTACTTTTGTTTTTCAATAGTTTTTGAACCATTTTGATCGGTGTTGGGTTGGAAGTGTATTAGGGTCCGGTTCATCCAACCCCTTTTCAAAACATGTACGAAGGTCTGTCATTATGTTTGTGTTGTACATTTTCTGAAATAAACATTGTGATTGATTAAAAACATGTTTATTTGAAAAGATATGGCTTCACACAACTACACACAATAAATGGGGAAAGAATATTTTTTGCTGGATATATAAAATATGTCCAAATAATGATATCTACGTGCGTATGTATGTGTCCATGTGTGTGTGTCTATTTGTGTACGTGTATATCTATGTGTGTGTGTATGTGTGTGTGTGTGTGTCATGTTTTCAACCATAAACATAAGGATTTGATTTTGAATTGTCTTACTAAAGTTTCACAAACAAGTAATAAACAACTGTTGCTTTGAGACGTTTCCAACGATGCTGAAGGTTCACCATTAATTATAACTCTGTGTGTGAGACACCAGAGAGGTCAGGAAGGAGGTCCAAGGAGATACCAAAAAGGTCAGGAAGGAGGTCCAAGAAGACTCCAGAGAAGTCAGGAAGGAGGTCCAAGGAGACACCAGTGAGGTCAGGAAGGAGGTCCAAGGAGACACCAGAGAGGTCAGGAAGGAGGTCCAAGGAGACACCAGAGAGGTCAGGAAGGTGGTCCAAGGAAACACCAGAGAGGTCAGGAAGGAGGTCCAAGGAGACACCAAAAAGGTCAGGAAGGAGGTCCAAGAAGACTCCAGAGAAGTCAGGAAGGAGGTCCAAGGAGACACCAGTGAGGTCAGGAAGGAGGTCCAAGGAGACACCAGAGAGGTCAGGAAGGAGGTCCAAGGAGACACCAGAGAGGTCAGGAAGGTGGTCCAAGGAAACACCAGAGAGGTCAGGAAGGAGGTCCAAGGAGACACCAGAGAGATCAGGAAGGAGGTCCAAGGAGACACCAGAGAGGTCAAGAAGGAGGTCCAAGGAAACACCAGAGAGGTCAGGAAGGAGGTCCAAGGAAACACCAGAGAGGTCAGGAAGGAGGTCCAAGAAGACTCCAGAGAAGTCAGGAAGGAGGTCCAAGGAGACACCAGTGAGGTCAGGAAGGAGGTCCAAGGAGACACCAGTGAGGTCAGGAAGGAGGTCCAAGGAGACACCAGAGAGGTCAGGAAGGTGGTCCAAGGAAACACCAGAGAGGTCAGGAAGGAGGTCCAAGGAGACACCAGAGAGATCAGGAAGGAGGTCCAAGGAGACACCAGAGAGGTCAGGAAGGAGGTCCAAGGAGACACCAGAGGTCAGAAAGGAGGTCCAAGGAGACACCAGAGAGGTCAGGAAGGAGGTCCAAGGAGACACCAGAGAGGTCTGAGGTAAAGTAAAACAGGAAATGCAATAATAACAAACACAAAGAGCCATTGGTCCAGAGGGAGCAGGATAAACACAGTCCACAAATGTGAATAGATTGTGTCCACAGTTCTGCTCGAGGTCGTAGTAGACGATGGCTGCTTTTATGACACTGCTTCTGTTTGACTGAACATGAGGCTGAGTTAGAGCTGCACAAAGACCCCAGCGTTCACTCAGACGGATGGAGCCTCATGTGGTTTACTCGAGTACAAGATGAAGTCTCTGGACAGTCTCGTATTGAAGCCCTGATGCTGTGTGGACCAAAGCAGGACGATACTGATGCATGTAGCAACTGGACTCTTCTTTCTCTTCTGTTTTGTCTCTCACTCCTCACAGAGATGGGGGAAATGTCGCAGGAGGCCCATGCAAGACCTGTTGTACATGACTTTAGTGGTCGGGAAAACCGTAGCACCCGGAGATAACCTACGTAGACACGGGGGAGAACCTACAAACTCCACACATAGTACAGATTCAGATTCAGATTCATTTTATTGCCATTTGCAGTAACACTACATTGGAATACATTTGTAAAAGTTCCCAGTGTGCACAGGACAAGTACAGACACAAAACAACATTAAAAGACAAAAATAAAACAAATTTTAAAAACAGTAAACAAATGTCACCGTGAAGTTGACCAACTTAAAACAGATCTATACAAGTGCAAAAAACATTAAATTAGATTCTGGTCTCTCTCGTGGACATTACATGGAACTATATCTCGATACACAACTGTTGTCAGGTAAGGCAAGGCAAGGCAAGTTTATTTATATAGCACAATTCATACACAAGGCAATTCAAAGTGCTGAACAAAACAAGAAAGCATTAAAATCATAAATAATCACAGAACATTAAAAAGAAAGACACAAATATAAAATCCCTCAGTTGTATGCAGAGCTAAACAGAACTGTCTTTAACCTGGTTTTAAACATTGTCAGAGAGGAGGCCTGTCTCACAGGTCTGTGACATGTTGCTGAGACCACATTGGACTTCCTGTTTAACCCCATTTATCTGTCTCTGAGAGAATAGAAAGTAGACGCTGACAGAGTGGAACAAAGTAATAAAGTGATAAAGTAATTTGCCCATTTCAAACTATTTTGTGATTGGATTTTGTCCATTACATTAATATAAGTCATAAAACATAAATAAACATAGATTTAAAAGACTCGACCAATCGTTACAAGGTTAAACAATGACACAGATGTTGTTTTGCTCATTTTGGCTTTAAACTTTCTTTGGTATTTCATTTTTCTGTGATAATAAATATAAGGATTTACTTGTAGAATGGTAAAGATAGAATTAGAATCATTTTTATTGCCACGTAAGTAACAGGAAGTCACAGACTTGGAAATTGCTTTGGCTCAGTGCAACAGTCAGAAAGAGATAATAACAATATAGAATAAAAAACACTTCTAAGGAATACATTTAAATTTAAAATAGAGTTACAGTTACTATTTACAATATACAAGTGTACATGGTGCACACAATGTAAGGTGACAGCAGTACAGTGAAGTAAAGTGACGTATGATGGGCAGTAAAGTGACTTTATAAAGGGCGGGGGGACAGGTTAAGAAGTGTTCAAGAGTCCAACAGCAGAGGGGAAGAAACTGTTCTTGTGGCGGGAGGTTCTAGTCCTGATGGACCGCAGTCTCCTGCCTGAGGGGAGTGGTTGGAATAGTCCATGTGCAGGGTGAGAGGGGTCGGCTGTGATACGACCAGTCCGGCCTCGAGCTCGGGCGACGTACAGGTCCTGCAGCGATGGAAGGCTGCGGCCGATCACTTCCTCTGCAGAGCGCACAATGCACTGTAGTCTCTGTTTGTCCCTGACTGTGGCTCCAGCAAACCACACAGTGACGGAGGAGGTAAGGATGGACTCGATGATGGCCGTGTAGAACTGCACCAACATCTGTGCAGGCAGCTTGGCTTTCCTGAGCTGCCGCAGGAAGTACATCCTCTGCTGGGCCTTCTTGATGAGGGAGCTGATGGTCGGCTCCCACTTGAGGTCCTGGGTGATGGTGGTGCCCAGGAAAGACATGATCAGAATGAGCAGAACACTCCCATCCAGTGGTAGAAGTGGGAAACTACATCTTGTTGGAATATGCTAATATCCAACCATCTTATTCAAAACGTTTAGTTCTAAACAAAGAGATTTGACCGATTCCCAAAAGTCATTTAGAATCAATATGTTTGTTTTGAAGGTGACGCCAACAACTTAAGGACCATAAAGGAGGTTGGAGGCATGATACAGACAATCCTCTTCATGTTGTTCTGTATCTTTGTAAAAACCTCATCATTCTTCTGTTGAACATGTTCCAGGTCAAAGTCAAGAACTCGTCTTAGCGGGTTTGAAAACGGAGCATTTGAACAGAAGGGGTGGGGGAACGTGTTTGTGACTGATGTTTTTATGGATAAAGGTTTATCTTTTTGGGTGAGGAAGCACAGTTCTGGATGATCTGTTGTTTAAAGGAAAGAACAAAGTTAAAAGCTAGTTTTCCTTGATGTGATATGTGTATATGAATATTTATCGAAATGAATGACTCCATTGAGGGATCAATAAAGTAAATATTCTTCTTTTTCTTTAAATGTGAGGCCAGTAGCATTAGGGGATGGCATGAAAGACAGACTGATGCTCCTCCCATTGTCTTAGAGATAAAAAGCCAAAGCAGAGTATTAGAGGCTCAGACCAGAGTCATCACTATGAAGACCTTCAGGCTCCTTCTGCTCTCTGTTCTCTGTGAGTAACATACACTTTAGCTTTTATCTCCAACTCTTCACAGCTTTTAGTGACGTCTTTGTCATTTACAGATGTCAGTGCTCAATACACTTTGCAGAATGGTCTATTGAAGGTTCATCAAGGAGAGACTGTCACTTTGTCATGTTCAAACTACTCTAAAGATGCATCTCAAGTGGATTGGATTCTTCTGGGAGCTGGATATAAATCTTGCAGCATTGCAACCGTTTTTGGATCTGACGGTGAACCTTCAGTTTGTGATAGACTTAAAGACGGGAGATTTCACATGAGCTCCAATAAAACTGATGTGTTTCTGGGAATCCAAGAAGTAAAGCTCTCTGACTCCGGACGGTACATCTGTAGATTCTATAAGTCCAGGAGTCGAAACATAACCCATGAAGAGAAGATATGGCTCAATGTTATCAGTAAGTAACGCAATAATAAGAAACACATGTAGCCATTGGTCCTATGTGTTCAAAGATAGATCACAAACTTTTTTAAATTGAAAAAAGTCAAAATACTAAAGTGTGCTTGAATTTCAACCACCAACGCAGATTCATCCAACCCAACGATGAAAGAAGAGTCTCAAACTGGAGGTAAGGATTCTAATCATGTCATGTATTTCTTAAGCCCTGTTTCCACCAGCCCTACTTTGCCCCACTCTACTTTACTTGGCTTTCCCACCCGCCTTGCTTTAGTGCTATCCTCACTAAACCTCACTAAATCACTAAGTGCTATCCCCTAACCCTCAGGTGAGTCGAAGATAAGAATACCTACAATAAGGATCTAAAAGTCTCTGAATGATCACGTAAATTAAATCAAAACTCAAATATTCGGGGTATTTTTCCGGCCGACCTTCATTATGTTGTGTATTTAAAGCTCACGGAGCAAATTGTGTATAATAACTATGTATAATGGCTATTTAAGTATGTAAAGCTTGTTTTTTTGTGCACGAGTGTATTAGTTTGTTGTGTGTTGTGTGTACAAATGTGTACCGTTTAGGGCCACTGAACCCCGCCCTCAAAAATCAGAATATAATTGTTCCATTTCTATCCTCCGAGAAATTTGTTTAGAGCTTGTTCATGTTGCACCTTGAGAAAGCTTTGAATGCTTCTCATCTCAGAGAAGCTGATGTTTGATTTGTATTGTTTACAAAAAAATCATTAATTGGAGTCCAAATTTATGTGATCAAGGAGAGACTGTTACTTTGTTGTGTTCAAACAAGTGAATTGGTTTAAACTTGAGAATGGATCTAAACCTCGCTGCATTGTGTCAATTTTTGGATCTGACGGAAATCCCTCATTTTGAGATGGATTTAAAGACGGGAGGTTTCACATGAGCTCCAATAAAATGGAGGTGTTTCTGAGAATCCAAGAAGTTAAGCTCTCAGACTCCGGTCTGTACAGCTGTAGATTCTACATTAAGCTCTACTCAGTTCTTGAGAACATGATGTATCTCAATGTGACCAGTGAGTAGACTTGGTTTGGAGAAAGATGTGTAGTTCAGCAGCAGACACAACCAGGCTCAGTGTCTGGTTATGTCGATAAAAGCAAATATGCAGCTACAGCAGACGGTTGTGATTTCTTGTGAGTGATTCTGAAATGTTGTTTGTCGAAGGTGAGGATCGTCCGGTCGGCAACAACACGGGTGAGTCTCATCTTCTGTGAAACATTGCTGTGCTTGGTGTCACTTTGGTGTCACCACATAACTGCATGTTTCCCACCACATCTCAGATTTGTAACTGCACAAGGCTTTTCTGATCAACAATGAACCTCTTGACACAATTAGCAAACACAAAGTATCATTGATGACCGGTGGAAATTCACCTTTGTCTATATCAGGGGTGTCAAAGCAGGTCCAGAATTAGCCGCTGTTGCTCCAGGTTTTAGTTCCAACCTGAGTAGGAACACAACAAGCTCCACCCATTTATTCAGGTAAGTCCAGTTTTAAGATTAAGAGTAAATGATTGGAGTCTGCTCAGGTTGGAACTAAATCTTGCAGCCGCACCAGCCCTTTGAAAACCAGTTTGACAGTCCTGATCCATATATTCATTCAAAGTTACCCTCCTTATTTGGGGATCAGAAAGAATGTAGTAAAAGTAAAATGTTGTGAACACATCAGGCATACTGTGGTCTTCATCTCATATTTTCAACCGTTCATCCATTTCTTATCAGTATTGTCTCTCGTCTATTATGAAGGCTGCGCTAGATTCTGTCTGGAAAATACAGTTGAGAACCACAAAACGAGTCCAATAATCCTTAAAATAAGTAAAATGTCCCTTTCCGTTGCTTTGGCTATGCATGCGCGCACTCCGTACGTCTGCCTGCTTTCTGTTGTTTCCCAACCGGACGAAATTAAATGTACTGTGGTAAACAGTGACCTATGTACTGCACAGGTGGACAAATGCAAGACAAAATAGTATTAATAACCTGGCCTTGTGGAGGTCTCAAGGACCACAGAGACTTTCGTTGTTTAGGCTATTTGGTGCCGAAGGTTTGGCCTTTTCTATGATGACGTAGATTTCCATATATAATGTATCTGTGTCTTTTGTTCTGCCTGAAATTAACAACCATTTTGTGAATAAACCAGCCAGGAGGCTTTGTCGTACAAAGATCCCGATTTGCCTGAGTCTGATTCTTATCAGGTGGTGGAGGAATGCGGTGCTGAATGCGACTCTGCCTCGGCTGTTGTGAGAAAGTTTTTTTCAGCGTGAGAGAGCTGAGAGCATCTGGAATTGGGTGCTATCTACCAAGCTGGAGAGGTGACGATTCCGGGGCTTTTTTGCTCTCTCACTATATTTTTTTTGTGTCCTCTTTTTTGGACTGACAAAGCGTTTAAATTTGTTTTTCCATGTCCATATTCCAGGGATTTCTGACGGGTGATTGGTCTCTGCCGATGGAAGCTAGTTCCCGGTACTAGTGAGCGCTGGTTCATGATCTGGAGACCTGGTTGGACGTGGAAAAGCTGATATTTGGTGGACTTTTGACGGTACCTGGGCCCTGTTCGACAAAAGGTAAGAGCGGACACCTGTTTATTCAAAGTCTGCTAATTGAGTGAACTAAATTATGGTCTGTTTTGAGGTCTGCCAAATGTCATGTATCTATAGATCAGATTAGATTAAAAACAGGTTCGCTACCTGACGGGGTTAGAGTCCCTTTGAGAAAAGTCTCGGGGTTAGAGTCCCTTTGAGAAAAGTCTCGGGGTTAGAGTCCCTTTGAGAAGAAGTCTCGGGGTTAGGTTAGAGTCCCTTTGAGAAGAAGTCTCGGGGTTAGAGTCCCTTTGAGAAGAAGTCTCGGGGTTAGAGTCCCTTTGAGAAGAAGTCTCGGGGTTAGAGTCTCTTTGAGAAGAAGTCTCGGGGTTAGAGTCCCTTTGAGAAGAAGTCTCGGGGTTAGAGTCCCTTTGAGAAGAAGCTTCAGGGTTAGAGTCCCTTTGAGAAAACGTTTTCGGGGTTAGAGTCCCTTTGAGAAAAGATAGAGAAGGATCCTTAGTGAAACCATGGTGTAAAAATAAAAAATAAATAAAAAGGGAGGAAAAACGAGTGCAGAGACCTTTGTTGCAAAAGTCTTGAAATTGGCCAATTTCAAGTTTAATGAGTGACAAAAGTTGAAGCAATAACATCTGTTATATATCAGTAATCACAGTTTAAAACTGCATATAGAAAAAGGGAGTTTTGGATTTTGTGCCTGGACAGAGCTCACCAGAAGATGCAGAGTTTTATTTCCAGCTAAACTTTTGTTTATGTATTTTGGTTTCGGTTCAGATAGGATCCAACATTTTTACGAAAAGCCTTTTGAAGCTAAACAAGTTTTCAAATCTTACTGTTACGTATTTTTCATTGCCCTCTGGAAGTGTGTGTGACTGTGCGTCGCTCTGCCGACGGCTTTCTTGCTCCCACACGGCAACCTGTTTCGGGTCTAAAAATAGACACTGCATGCGGATGTGTAGTTTGTCTTCTCTCTCATCTACTCCCGTTAAATTTGTGTAAATTAGAGTTTAAATTTTAGGTTTTAGAAAGTTTTGAACGCAAGTACTCAACAGATTTGGCTTGTTCATTTTCATTTTTATCTTATGTTTATTTTTCATAGTTGTAGAACTAAGAACGCTTCACCATATTCTTCGAATTTCTCGCTCTGATCTTGCTTTTACTTTTGCATTGCTGTTATATCGTTTAAATTGGTTGTAAGAGTTTGTGTGATTCCTATGTCCTCCCATTACAAAAAAACATAGTTGAAATAATTAAAGTATCCTTGTTAAAAGTGCATGAATATTGACTTTTTAGTCTGAAAGAATATTGGTAAATAACAGCAATGCATTAAATCTTTAAATTTTTCCCCTTTTCGCTTGGTTGTGGGAATTCTTGCATGCGTTTTATCAAAGTCCAGCCGTGAGCGTGTGGGAGTGCGGGCACGGCTCCAAAACACCTGCCGCTTCTCAAAATACAATAATCTGTTTCTATTCGTTTGTGTGCATCTAAAAAAACGTGTTCACTTACATATTCCATTTTATTTTTATTATTAATTTTATTTTTCTTGTTTTTAACTCAAAATTTTAGAATTTATTTTTTGTAATCTGGCAATTCTTGAAATATACACTTTGCATTTGTCCACCTGTGCAGTACATAGGTCACTGTTTACCACACCACTTTTGCGTTCAATACATTTTCTATTTTTGAAGGGAAATCGAAAATCAAAAAAAAGCTATTTTGCATTTTTCAGGCACACAGCAATATACAAAAAAGACCATTTTGTTTATTTCATTGCTTATAAGATATATATATATTATAATAACCGGATTTGGAAACTAGAAAATGCAAAAATGTACCTTTTTTATTATGTATTTAATATATTTCGGCGTCAATCGATTACCCGGAAGAGAAACAAGTTTGTTTACTCACACGGGTTACCTGTGGACCCCGGATAATTTGTGATAATCACGGAGAACGTCTGAGATTTTGCAGTGCATTCACACGGGATAAGCAATATCTGTAAACTACTATTTTTGCTAACATCTCACATAACGGCCGCACGTGCGCGGATCTCCCCGCTTCACACAGTCCAGAGAGTCGTGTCTGACCACAGTTAATATATAGAGTCTACGGACCACAGCAGCCACAGAGACATGAGGACAAACATTTTACTGCTCTACAGTTCTCCGGCCCATACTGTCTGTAATGTTTAATAATAGTTTGTATGGACTACTCGTGAACCACATACTAATATAAGTAATAAGTGCGAGCCGACAAATAGTAACGGCTACAGCAACACGTGTGCGTCTATTCTGTTTTATGACAGAGTGCAAAGTAAACGTACAAACACAACCCATCGGTCTGATCATTTACAGTAGTGTCAGTGAACACATTACACAGTCCTCTACACTTCTCCATAGACCTCACAGAGAACACATTACACTGTCCTCTACACTTCTCCATAGACCTCACAGAGAACACATTACACTGTCCTCTACACTTCTCCATAGACCTCACAGAGAACACATTACACTGTCCTCTACACTTCTCCATAGACCTCACAGAGAACACATTACACTGTCCTCTACACTTCTCCATAGACCTCACAGAGACAGCAGCAGCCGCGACTCTGCAGGCTGAAGAAGGAGAGTCCAGCGTGACTATCGGTCGGCCTCAGAGATTCTGACAGACTGTCCGGTGGAAGCAGTATGCAGTGCGGGTGGAGAGCGGCTGACCACAACCGGGGATGTTGTTGGGCAGTGGAAAGAATACTTCAAGGTTCTCTTCAATGCCCTGAGGATCCTTCTCGGTCACTCAATCTAGGAGTGGGGGATCCGTCCTGACCCTGAGTCTCTGGATGTTGTAGGACTGTCTTGACTGATACGTGTCTGAAGCATCAAGTGGCGGTCGAGGGCAGTGCCAATGGAGTGGCAGACCGGGGTGCCTCCCTCTCTACAAGAAGGGGGGCCGGAGGGTGTGTTCCAATCATCATGGGATCACACTCCTCAGCCTCCACGGTACTGGAGAGGAGACTTTGATTCAGATTCAGGAGGAGCAGTGTGGTTTCTACCGTGTTTTTAGGAGGGATCCTAAAACTGTCGTCCGGTCCCTGTATGACCGAATTCAGAGTTGTGTTTGCATTGCAAGCAGCATTCAAAAGGCTAAAACCAGGGGTGCACATAACTTTTTCAGTGAGGTTCTCAGATGAGTACCAGGAAATGGTGTTTGGTACTTACTCCATTTGTCGCGTGGTCCTTAATGGACATTTTATACTTTAATTCCCTTGCATTATTAATGCAATGGCCCCTCCTATTGAGCAAATTATTTTGGTAGAAGTTGGAAGTATAAACCATGGATCTATTATAATAACTTGATAGGGTATTGCTAGTTTATAGCTGAAGAACCCATGTGCTCAGGGGACTCTCGCGGTACTGCAGACTAAACAAGACTAAATTCTCGTGGGCTACCCAGAAATTTTCCCCATAGAACTCTATGTAAATTAAAACAGCACGACCTCAGCTGACAGAGAACCTACAGCTAGGGATGTACAGATCCAGATTTTTTGTAATCCGATCCGATTCCGATATTCTAAATATTGTTTTGCCGATACCGATCCGATACAATTTTTTCTAATATTTTCAATTTTGCATTTTTACCTGAATAAATACGTTTGTTGTGTCGG